AACAGGCTCTACTGATAGAATCGTTGGGGGCCCTCGAGCAGCAGGCAGCTGGCAGATGTCCTTTCGGCCCGTGGCACATGCCAAGCAAGCGAGGATCGTTGAACGATGAGCAAGGGAAAACGGACCAGATGTTAACGACAGTTCCGTCCCGTTCCGTCCCGTCCGTGAAGTAATCAATGCAACAGCAGGCCAGCTATGTAGGCTCTATCTCGATCCCTTCGGTGCCGTCGTCCCTTCAGCTCGGTTCTGCTCAATGCCTCAATAGCTCAGTGCCGGCTGCAATTCGTTGGATTGCCTGCCCACGAACGACCAATGCATTTTACGGCCGACCTCGACATCTGTCGGTTTCAAAGGGCTTGCTGCTGTGCCAGCCAGCTGTCCTCTGAAACGCGCTCTCCGATTAAGAGGTCGGCATGCAGGTGATGCAGTATTTTCCGCCTGGAGCACTAAACTTTATCCTTGCGAAGTGACGAGTTCTTTGGGGGTGTGGAGCGGAATGCGGGACGCAGATTATGGGGGATGGCCGAAAATCAGCTGTTTTGCGCAATGTTTATAAACAAAAAGGGAACTGAGGCAGTCGTACTAACCCTTAGACATGTCTGGGCATATTTTTGGAATCACCACCAGGGCAAGAGCCATAGCCAGAGCAACCACCGACCTACATTGGCGCACTTGCTCTGGGCCACATGGCGCATGGGGTGGTTCCGCTCACACGCACGCACCACATCGAACCGCACGGCCTTCTCGTAGGTGCAAGGACGTTGGGAAAACCCCCAAAATGTAAACAAACAAAAGCAACCCCAGCAGCAGACACCGGCACCGACCGTATCCGCTCTTGCTCTTGGTCATGTGCCTCTGAACCCACCACCATCACCTCGGTGATGGGAACAACGGATACGGATATGGGATTCGGTGTCGTGGAGTAGAGTGGCATGGCGTGTGCCGGCATATCATCCATCCACACAACGTCTTCGTCATTTAGGGGTTTTCCGAAAAACAAAAAAAAACACACAAATTGAAACCAAAACAGAGCGGGCCATCGGTGGTAGTTAAGGCAGAGCAAGGAGCATCCGCTCCCGCTCCCATTCATAAAGCATTATAAACATACCCCCGGACTAGGTGGTGCTTTTGGCACAGATCCCGCCCGAAGTGGCAAGTCCGCAGGTCAGGTGTGGTGGTTCCGAGCCGTGGATGAAGTGCGAACAAGTTGTCAACGCAACAGGTCGCGCCCCGCCGGGTGGTTGCGGTGGCCGCCGGTGGGTGGTGGTGTTCCGATCCTTCCGAGTCCAACTGAGGGTATGCGTTTAAATATTTGGGGTTAAGAGTTCGAATCCCTTTGTGTTGTGCAAGGTCTTAGGTAGTGGTGATTACCACACACATCCGTTTTGTAGTCTTGTTATATTATTGCATACTTAGCAGGCATTTCACCCACATTTCATTCATTTTGGTTTTTATTATTAGTTAGGATTTTTGACCAAAGAAGGGGGAGCTTAGCTTAATTGTATATTGGCTCGTTTTAGTAGGACGTTTGATTTAAATTATAAATTTGAATGGATTTAGATACCTTTTATGTTCACAGAACTTTTTGTTAATTGATATTAATTCATATTTTTAAAATAAGAAGGATTCTAAGAAGCACTTATTACAACATTTTTTGTGAATTTTGTATCTACTTGTGTCTTTCTTAATCAACGTTATAGAAAAATGCTATAGTTTTAAATTTTCTAATTTGCATATATCTACATATTTTAAATAAGATATTCTTTAAAAACCAATTAGAGACGAAAAACCCTCTTGGTCTAGGAATTTAATTATCCCTGTAGATTAGCTTTTCTTTAAACCATGATTTTCACATGGAAACTGTGATGGCCTCGTTCTAAATTTAACAATGCCACAGATTTGAATTTGGAGCACACAGTGGCGAAGGTTCTGGTGTGCACATCCTGCTCCGATCGACTTTTCCCGGCAGGAAAACTGGATAACTAAGTGGCCACTTGAGCACGGACACGGGCATCTTGAAAAAGTTTTCCCTTTTGCTTACTGTGAAATATCCGCCATATATCCTTGCGCTTTCTGCTTTGTGCTCCACATGGCCGCCATTTTGTAGACCAAGAAGAGCTGGGATGCGAAAAGTGTCGAGCGATAGACGAACAATGGCGAAAGAGGAGAATTAATTAGATTGGCAGCTGCTGGGCGTGCTGCAGCTGAGAGAGAAACGAGCTGGCAAACTATTGAGAAATAGAGAAAATGATAGAGAAGAGAGAGAGCGAGAGCAGCGAGTGTGCGCCGAAAGCCTGCAACGGGAAACTTGTCATGCGCCTCGAATTCTCCTCCTTCTTCTGCGCTTTTTATTCACTTAGCACACAACGACAACAGCAACAACAACAACGGGAAACCAAGAGTATGGACGCCAGGACGACTGTAGCTGGGCGCCTGCTTATAAAAAGGACTCGCAGGAACACAAGACACCGTCACACACACACACACACAATACAGCAAACGCACCGGAATCACAAAATGTAACGAACGAAAAGCATAAAAACAAAACAAAGGCCAGCGGCAAAGGCAGAAAAACGAGCCAAAGCCAAACAGTTGTGCAATTGAGATAAAGGACAACAAAAGGGAAACTTCGAAAAGGGGACGCGTGCTTTGCTTTTCGGTCGATGCCTGTCGTCGCCGCACAGTGGTATAAATTCACTTTCCACGGCTAATAATTACTTAGTTGCAGCTAAGAATACTCTCAAAATAAATTGTACCCTTAACTTACTTTAGAAAATCGCAAAAAAAAATTACATTTTTTTAAATACAAGAAAGTTATTTTTAAAACTAAGAACATTTTTCTAAAATCAAGAAACTTTTTCTTAAGTAAGAACGTATTTCTTAAATGTAGGAAATGGTTACCATGAACTAAAATAACCCGAAAATCACCTCGTATACGACGATCTGGGAGTTATGAAAATCATTGCCTACATTCAGGCGTCTGTCGCCACGATTTCAAATATTAAAGAAGCCAGGATTATATTTGAACAAAGTTAAATTCAGGACGAAAGTTATAATAATAAATATAATAATATCAGAGTAATCAAAATCAAATCGCGACAATGCATAATTTTCATTAAAGGATATGTTTATTTCGTATTTGAATGAAATATTTTAATAATCACGTACCACTGTGCTGTTTCGACGCGCGTGCTTAGCGTCACAAAAGGATATAAAACGGGCAACTGGCAGGAGCGGCAGGAACATGGTACAATAAAGAAATGGGCTACCTAACGTTCGGTTTAGTCCGTTAACGTGCTGAGGTATCGCATCCTCACAATAAAGAAAAAGAACAAGGAAAAAAGCATAAATAATCTTGTAGCTGTTGTCGCAGCTGAGGCAAAGCAGCGGAGCTCGAATTGAAATTTTATGAGAAATTGTATTAGAGAAATGCTTTGTGAAATCACACGAGGCACAGGACGAATGTGTGCGTGTGTGTGTCTGTGGAATGGAATATTAAATGGCAGGAGGAGAGGGGAGGTGGAGGGGGGAAGTGGGAATGTGGAAAAAGGGGACGCGCATTATGTCGGTTCTCCGTGAGTTCTTCGTCGACGACGTCATCGCCAGTTGTTGTTTTTGTTGTTGGTTCCTGTTTTCGCTTTTTACCGTTCAGTCAATGACCACATTGTGTACACAACTGCACTGTTAGTATGTGTGTGTGTGTGAGTAATTGCTGCCGGAAGTTGAAGCCGCCGCCTGGTCATTCTCGCTGCTTTGCTGCAAGCTCTCTCTCTCTCTCGGTTTCGTCCTTTTTCTCTCTCTCCTTGTTATGCCCGAGCGGTTTTCTCAGAAACAAGTTTCCAGGATCTTTGTGCGCCCCGCCACTTTTTTTTTTGTTTTTGTTCAAGTCCTGGCGAGCAGTGTGACCATTCTTTTGTGCTCTGGTCACGCTTTGATCCTGCCGTTCTCCGCCAACCGCTCCCACAAGCTCCATTTTTCCATAGGCGTTGCCAGACTAATGACATGTTGTAAATTATACTACTCCGCGGCATACCATTCCTTTTGCCGTTTCATGCGGCTGTAATTACTCAGCCCGGTTTCCTTTTTGTATCTCTCCCCCTCTCTCTTGTTTTATAGTACGCCGCCTGCTTTTGTATGGGTTTTCTGCTCACAGGATGCGGCGAAGCTTGTTATCGAAACGCTATCACGTAATTGCTCGCTGCAGTTATCCTTAGCTGTTGCAGATGTGCTAATTTGTATTCGAGAAACTCTTGTTCCATTAAAATGAACATTATAAGGGATTTACCAAATTGCACTTTTGTGCTTTGGGAAATTAGGATGTCAATAGTCACTGGGATAAAGTATATTATTTCTTATTACCAGAGGTACCTTTTTTGTTTCTTTATATTTTGCTTTAATGTTATCTATATGTAAATTTATATATATATCCTTGATTAGTATATTTAGGAATCTTATACAATCAGCAAAACATGTAATTTATCAGATTTATCCTATTTGGAAAACCAACAAAATTGAACCAATCTATCTAAACACTTTTCACGGATGCTACTTCCATCTTAAATAAGCTCAATAAATGTAGATAAGCCATCTTTAATTAGTTAATTAGGTGCAATATATCACAATGAAGAAATTATTATAAAATCGAAATTAGATTGTACACAAACAAATACATAGAAATACCATGAACCCATATTTTGTTTGTTGCCTTTGCAATAATTTCCAAAAATATGCAATTATTAAATACCCGATACATGAAGTACCCTTGGTTCCCGTCTCAAGTGGATCTTCAAACTCTAACCACCGCCACCGTCATTTACCTAAGAACGATCGCTTTGCGATCCGAGATCAGCAATACCTAGATTAGATCTTCGCCAAAATCCGAAATCCAGGGCAGGACAATGCATAATGAGGATTAAGTCCTTTGCGATTTCTCTGTCTGCTTAGAGCGAGCGAGAGAGGAGGAGAATTGCCGAAAAGAAGTCCCGACTGCGAGCGAGCGTTTCGAATGGCGAATGCATTTTCCTTTTCGCCACATTTGCTTTTCGCAATGGAACGAAAGAGCAGGAAAAAGGCATTGTTCGACGAACGGATGGATGGAGGAAAGGAGGAGCGATTAAAACTGGCAGTTTTCCTTTTGGCTTGCATTTCCCTATCCACAATTATCCTGTCAAACTTGTTTGCGCCGTCTCCCTCTGGCTCTACACCAATTTTCCTTTCGCATTATGCTTTGACCAGAGCATTCGCATTAAAAGGACAACGCTCTCGTGCGGCGTGAGTGTGTGTGTGTGTCTGTGTTTGTGTGTGTGCGAGCGAGGAGCGGGCTCGTTCGACGCCTGCGTCGCCATCGTCCTGGCATCGAATTGCCGTTCAGTCGACGCTTGCTGCTCAGACCGCTCAGACATGTCGCGCCCGTCGTGAGTGCTTATAGTTAGCTAGTACCTACGCATATACATCTATATATATATAAACCAACATCATCGAAGAGAGACAGCAGCAGCCACCAAGTCAAAGGACTGTAAAACGCAAAACAACGACGCCATCAGATGTTGCAGGATAACATCAAATTAAACCAATAAAGCACCCAAAACCAAAGCCAAATCATTCTAAAAGAATCGCAAAGCCAAAAAAATAGTGCTTCAAGTGTATCGTATCAAACATCAAATTGTGCAAATCAGTTTCAGTTAGTTGAAAGGAGCAAAAGTTTCATATGCAAATACACAATAAAATAATGTGCAATAAACTACAACTCAATACAAACAAAAGCAACTCAGCAGCAGCAGCGAGAAAAACAACAACAACAATAAGCAAGCGTTACTCATATAGTCATACAAGTACTTTTGCCATTTTGTTGGGATTTACGCACGGAGCAGGCATCGAATAAACTAGAGAAGCTGAAAAAAAAAACCCAATCGAAGCACATCACAAGTGAGTTCCAAATTTCGTCCTTTCACAAACACACTCACCCGTAAACACACACACACACACGCACGCACATACGTACTCGCTGCTTTGCGACTCGTCCATTTTGAATCCCCCCTTTAACGAGTATATCCTGCCCGCTCCTTTGCATAAAGTCTCTCGCTCCTACCTTCCCAAATTCGCTCTCTCCTTTGTAACTAGCAAATAGTTTTGCGCACTCGTCATCGCCCCCCTCACCCGTCCCCCCTTTCCCATCATCGTCGGCTCTCCGCTCTCCGCTCTCGCTCTCCTTTTTGTGTTCTCGCTCTCTGAAATTGTCGGGTGGTGGTACAGTTTTCTGCGTGGTCGAAAAATTGCGTAAATTTTCATCTAGTTCTCTGGGATGTCTCGCACAGCGTTGTCCTCGTTATCGTTATCCTTGCTGCTCCTCCGGCCTGCAGAGCTTTTAGTCTGCTTATACGGAAAATAGGAAAAACAAACGGAAAACAATTGGTATTGACTCAGAAAAAGATGTCGCCGGATTTGTGTCATTCGCTTATTGGGCGTTTTCAATTCCTTTAAATGACTGGCCGCGGGGATAACGGTTCGTCCTGGCACTCAATAATTAATTATCCTCTTCAGTTTGATTTATTGTGATTTCTTTGGGAGGCTTATCGTATACAGAAATACAGACAGCGAAATAATTCAAGCTCGCATGCCTTATGTATTTATTTCTTGTTTATTGTTTTACACTTTAAAATCAAAAAATTTAACTAAAAAAAGGAAAAAAGAATACATTTAAAAAAGGATAAAAGATATTTGAAAGTATTCTTAATAGTTATCATAAAATTTTTAGTTTGGCGAATCGGTGGCCTTTATGATTGGCATTGTAGATAAACCAATTTGATTGAAGCCCTCATAAAGTGATAAATGAGGCCAAAAAGTGCGCTGTCAAGATTAATGAACTTTTTTAACATTTAAGACGGTTGTTAGGAGGTTCTCTCTGGAAAGTTAGCATTAAATATTTGAATTCCAATCACTTTACGATTTACAATTTTACAAGAAGTCATGTTTGTATGTCTGTCCGTTAAATTAAACTTTTAAAACAGACTTGTTTATCCTTAGACACTTATTAAATAAATTTATATAGTACCAACCTTTTAATTATATAGAATGTAGCTATAAAGAATATTGAAAGCACAATTGGCAGTATTATCCTAAATAGTCAACAAATTTAGCTAATCAAACCATTTTTAAGAATATTGCCAGTAAGTATCAGTAACATAAATCCTCGAATCTTATCTCCTATTCGAAAAACTCGACGTTTATTATTGCTAACCCCTTTTTTATTTTATTTACTATGTGATTTGATATTATTTATTTGATATTAGAATTAAGATCAAGTTTGGTAAGGACATAAAATAAGTTTAACATTTTCAGCTCATATACATAATGTCCATAAAACCGCTTACTCCCTAAACTCCCAACTTTTCAGCCGGTTCTGCATGAAATGCGATATACTTATTCAATTTACAACATTTCTTCGTAGTTTGTAAGGTTACCGAGCGAACGATCGCTGCACTTTTTATGGGTTCCTATGGGTTATTAGGGGTCCTGCTAGCACAGGAGGAGAGACACTCGAAAACCGGGGCAGGGGAAGGGGCAGCGGTAAGGGCATATCCTGCCAGCCTCTATTCTCCTGCCAGTCGGCCTGCCTGCCTGCCTGCAGTTGTCGCTGCCGCGCCCATTATGAACAAAAAAAAAACCTCGAAAAGTTGCAGCTGTTCCTTTTCTGTTTGTTTTGTGGCAGCCAGCCGATCCCAAGCGATCCGATCGTTGAGCCCTGAATTTCGAGCTCTTAGCGACGGGACAGGCAGTCGGGCGGACTAGGCTAGGCATCTGCATCTGCAACTGCATCTCCGGGATTAATGGGCCGATCGGGAGTACTGGGTTTTAAAGCCGCTTCTATCACATTTCCAGATCGTAGCATCCGGACTCTAAGAGAAAGGTGTCTCGGAGAGGAGTAGAAAAGCCGACAGCTCAGAATAGAACGAGAACAAAGCGTTGAGAAACATGAAAATGTCCGAAGTGCCCCGCATTATGGTCTTTCGACCCACCTGGGAGGAGTTCAAGGACTTTCCCAAGTACGTGGCCTACATGGAGTCCCAGGGCGCTCACAAGGCCGGACTGGCCAAGGTGGTTCCTCCGCCGGAATGGGTGCCCCGTCGCAGTGGCTACGCCGATCTGGACGCTCTGAATGTCACTATTCCTGCCCCCATTTGCCAGGTGGTAACCGGCAAACAGGGCTACTACCAACAGATAAATATCCAGAAAAAGCCACTCACTGTCAAGCAGTTCAGCGAACTGGCCAGCACCGAACGCTATGCCACACCCAAGCACTTTGACTTTGAGGATCTGGAGCGCAAGTACTGGAAGAACATCACATATGTGGCGCCCATTTACGGGGCAGATGTCAGCGGTAGCATTACAGACACCGATCAGGATGTAAGTTAGGGTTTGGGGTTTGAGTTTCCGATCCCCGTTGACGATTACGATTCGTTGCCGTTGCAGAGCTGGAACATCAACCGGCTGGGCACCATCCTAGACTTTGTGAACAAGGACTACAACATCCAAATAGATGGCGTGAATACGGCGTACTTGTACTTTGGCATGTGGAAGACGACCTTCGCCTGGCACACAGAGGACATGGACCTGTACTCGATCAATTACCTTCACTTTGGGGCGCCCAAGACGTGGTATGTCGTACCGCCGGAGTGCGGACGCAAGCTGGAGAAGGTGGCCAATCAGTACTTCCCGGCCAGCTACAAGAACTGCAACGCGTATCTGCGCCACAAGATGACGCTCATCTCGCCGCAGATCCTCAAGCAGCACGACGTGCCCGTCAGTAAGGTGCGTTTTGTCCGTACTGTTCTCGTTTAGCGGACACACTAAATCCAGGCGTACTCTTGCAGATTACGCAGGAGGCTGGCGAGATCATGATCACATTTCCGTTCGGCTACCATGCAGGCTTCAATCACGGCTTCAATTGCGCCGAGTCCACCAACTTTGCGATGGAGCGCTGGATCGAGTACGGCAAGCGGGCGGTGCAGTGCACCTGCAGCAACGACATGGTCAAGATCTCGATGGACACGTTCGTCAAGCGCTTCCAGAGCGATCGGTACGACCTGTGGATGGAGGGTCGCGATGTGGGGCGGCACCCGGAGGATCCGGCGAATGGGGTGCCAAGTGCTGCTCCACTGCCGCCACATCTCGATGTCTTGCTGTGTGATAAAAAGTAGGTTTCCTTGTTGTGCTCCTACCTGGGGGTTTCCAGCGTCTCTTATTCTCCCGTTTCCTGCTCCTTTCTCAGAATGAAAAAGCAATGCAACCCGACCAAGGCGAAGAGCTTTAAGGAACGCAATCCCGATCTGGATCTGGATGAAATCCAGCAGAATCCCAATGTGCCCGACGACGTGAAGGCCATGCTGAAGGAGAGTGTGCTGACGCTGGACACGGGCGATCTGGGCGCCGATGAGGGCGACTTTGCCAACGAGGACGCCATGAGCCTGCAAAGTCCGGCGGACCTTAAGACCAAGCAGGAGCTGCTCGAGTACATAGACGACGGCACAGGTGTGTGGGCCGGTCAGGTGCCCTTAAGTCGATCGCATCCCCACCAGCTGAACTATAATATATTTTCCCTTTTCTCCTTCTCTGTCCCTCCTTTCGTTTTGTCTCTTTTAAAACTTCCCGTTGACAGAAGACGACGACGAGGAGGAGGACTTCAAGCGGCGCAAGCAGAAGCGGCGGTACGATGCCGACTACGATGACGACTGGCTGGCGTCCAAGAAAAAGACCCACTCGCGAAATAGCAGCCGGGGGCGCAGTCCGCGCGCCAAGGACGACCGTTCCATATCGCCGGCATCCTCGACCTCCTCCACGTCTCGTGGGGGAAGGCGTGGCAAGGCGAGCGGCACGCCCCGAAAGACTCCGACGAGGCGGAAAAAGGACTCCAGTGCCACCTCACCGGCGGCAGCAGCAACTGTCGCTGCCGCAGCATCGCCCACAGCAACAACATCACTAACCACAGCAGCTGATGGCGGCGGAGGTGAGAGCAGCAGCTTAAGCAGCCACTGCACCACTGCATCCACATAATCACAGCTTCATTTCCAAGAACCTTAACCCCATAACCAAATGCCCCTAAAGATTACACACTCCTCCAGCTCTAGCAACATCATTCCACAGATTTCTGGTCCATCAAAATTCAATGTTTTAAGCCGTTCGACCTGCATATGCATTCATTCCATCGTTCTGTTTTTGTGTTTAATGTACAAATAAATCGTCTAGTTTGTTTTAATTGTAAGAGTGCGTCAGAGAAATATACGATCACGCTTTTAAGTCTATGCTAAAAACTAACCAAAAACCAAAACTGTTTTACTAAACCGAATCCAAGGTGTTGGTGCTGCCTGGGCCTGTTCTTCTTGCTTTGCCGCCCCAGAATCTGCTTCGCTCACCCCTCCATACCAACCACCCACCCAACCAATTCGCAACCCCCGCCCCTCCACATGTGTGTGTGTGTTTGTGCTTACACCAACAAGAACCTTATGAACAGCATTTAATCACAAAGCTATGAAAATCGTGGAACGATCAAGCACTAAATTCTACCGATTGCCGTTTTTCAGATGCCAAAAAGGAGCAGAAGTCGCTGCAATTTATGCAACAGTCGCGTAAATTTGAGGGCAAGATACCAAAACTAAGTCAAGGAGTAGCAACCGGAGCATCCACAGAAGCATCCACATCCAAGTCTAGTCAAGAGCAGCAGCAACAGATTGTCTACGTCAACATGTTGCCCGCGGCCAATACCCTGAATGGCATTCCACAGCAGCAGCAGCAACAGTATGCGACTACGGACGGGAATGTCTATCAGCTGCAAAATGAAATACTCTGTGATGCAAACGGACATGCGGTAACGGCCGCCACGGCCTCATATCAAACTACGGCCAGTAGTCCACAGCAGCAGCAACAGCAACAGCAGCAGCAGCAGCAACGGAATGTTGCAACCAGTGTTGCCGGTAAGTGTCCGCCTTGAATTTGTTCGCTTTCTGTTTATTTGTTTGTTGGTTGTAGTCTTTGTGTATGGTTTAACCCTCTTGTGTACTCGTATTTGGTGTTTCAGTTGAAGCTATTACCACTAACCGCTCATTGTAAATACAAACTCACCCAATTATGATTTGATCGTCATCCGAATTGGCCAAATTCGAATCCAATCAAATGTTTCGTTTTGTAAGTGTCCCACTAAAAATTCCATGTCATCCATCCATTACATTCCATTCCACCTTGCCATCCGACATTTCACAACTGCATTCTTTTGTTTATGAACTTTTTGTGCCAAAATTCAAGCGCGCCATTCACAGAGAATGTTTCGAATAAGAGCAAACAATGAATTTGACTTCCATTTGCCGTGTTCTTGTCACACCTTTTGCCCCTATGACCAAAAAATAAAAAAATGAATAGACGACCGTCTATAGTCTTCAGTTAACCACCGACCTATCTCAGCAAAATCAAAAATCCAATCGCATCGCCCAATTAATAACAAAAACCGCTTTCGACTGCTCCACACACTACATGCTCGTCTTTAATTTGCGACAAACTTTCCCAGGTCTGTGTCTGTCTCTTCTCGAAATGTCGTGAATATTGGAACTATCACATAAATAAATGCACAAATCATTTCAACCGAGGAAACTCCGTGCAGAGCGCGTCGAAGAAGGCTCAAAAATTGTTGATCACGTATTTTAATTTACCTTATTAGCTAGCATAAGAATTTTCAACTCAACATTTGGCGCCCAACGGGGTGGAAAAGTGAGGCCAATGCAGCTGGTCAGTGATGCCCATGCGCGCGCGGACTCAAGGCAGCCGTTGGGCGCCAATTTTGAAAATTGACTTTATAATTTATAGATTTGCGTTTATGATTTAGTTATTTTTAGCAATGACACTATCTATTGTTCCCTTCTTTTCCCACCTGTTGACACAACACAAAACACAATCCGTTCTCAGCTCCCCCGGAAAAGGGAGGAGTCTGACCAACGTTGGCCAACACACCACCAGTTTCATCCTCTGCTCTTCTTCTCTCCTGTTACCTCAGTTATTCAAGTCGATTATTTATTTAATTTTATTTTATTTAGTACGTATTTAGTTGCGAGTACTGTACCAGAGTTACGATTACAATTGCTGTAAAGTAGATCTAAGTAAACACAAATTCTACCGACAAACAAAAACCAATTCACTCACTTTCTATCTATATATGACCTGTATAAGAGGCCCGTGTAAATGTCACAGATGCAACACATCTGTGGCACTTTTAAACAGTTGGCCGCAAGTAGCTTTCATTTTGCACTACATTTGTTTTATGCGAACCTGATTTGAGTGAATTGTTGTTGATTGATTTCGAATTCAATTACGAATTGATTTATTGATTTATGCAAATATTACATTCAAACACATCTTTTATGAACCGAACCAAATATGTATTTTCAAAAAATATATAAACAAAAGACAATGTGGTCACAACTATTAGTTCGTCCTCCATCCTGCACACGAACGCCAACACCAACGGAGTGGACACGATCGCCGCCCAGCAGCAACAGCAGCAGCAGCCACAGTCACATTACCACTATATAACCACCACCGGCGAGGATGGACAAACCCCGACCACCATAGTGTTCGAGAACTACAACGGCGGCATGCCGGCGGTCAGTTCGGCGGCTCCCACGCCCGTTCCCGTGCCGCAGGGCAGCACGGCGGCGAACACCACCACCACCACGGCCCTGGTCAACACGGACGGAACGATCATCGAGTTCGATGGCAGCACCTATGAGGAGTACCATGTCCTCAAGAGCGAGCCCGGCAGCAGCGATTGCCTGAGCAACGGCAGCAGCGCCGTGGCCGCCGACATCATCAAGTACGAGCCGCAGCACGGGATCGCCGGCGACGAGGAGGACGACGAGGAGAACGGCCTGCTGCAGGTCAAGTACGAGGAGCAGAGCCTCGAGCACGATGCCGAGCACGATCTTGATCCCGACCAAGAACACGAGTACGAGGAGTTCCAGGTGATCAAGGCCGAGGTGGAGGCCGAGGCGGCGGAACAGGCAGCGGGCACCACCAGCTACACGATCAGCCAGGATCAGGCTGGAACGGGCGGCAACCAGGTGGTGTCCTCGATGGTGCCCAAGTCGGGTTCGGCGGCGGCCGCCAAGCAGAAGCGCAAGCGCAAGACGCGCGTCATCGCCGACGACGAGCAGGGCGAGTATCTGGAGAAGATGAGTGTGCGCGGCCTGGATATTGCCCGCTACGAGCACATCATCGACGGCGTGGCCTACTGCCTCGTGTGCGCCAAGAACGACATCTTCAAGACGTTCAAGAACAAGTACAGCTTCCAGCGGCACGCCTACCTCTTCCACGAGGGCCAGAACCGCAAGATCTTCGCCTGCCCCATCTGCAACAAGGAGTTCTCGCGGCCGGACAAGATGAAGATGCACAAGAAGGACAAGCACGGCGATGTGCCCATGCCGCCGTCGGCCACCACGACGCCGCTGAAGGCCGACGGACCGCCGGCGAAGCGGGCGCGTAACGCTCGCACTCCGCGCGTCCGCAAGTCCAAGGGCGGCGGCGGTGGCGACGGCAGCACGCCGGCCAAGAAGCGGCTGGCCCAGATCGACAGTGTGCTGGACGATGTACAGAATGGCGAGTCCCTGGGCATGGCGCCGGTCAGCGTGAGTCACTCGCAGCAGCAGCAGCAACCGCAGCAAATGCAGCACAGCCTGACCACCACTTTGGCTCCCTCGGCGCCCGCGCAGCCGCAACATCAGCTGCAGACGTTGCCATCGCTGGACTTCAGCGGCATGATCCTGCCAGGCGGTGCTCAGCTGGCCCTGGCCAATCCGGGGGCCACCAGCTCCGTGGCTTTGCAGCGTGGAGCGGCCACGCCGAATGGCGGCCAGGCGACGGCGCCCACCACCACGCTCATCTACTCCAATCAACTGGAGCTGCAGCAGGCGCTGTTGCAGCAGCAGCTGCACGGCCAGAGCATCATGATCCAGGACCAGGCCGGCAACCTGGTGCCGCTGCAATTGGACGGCACTCAGGCGATATACACGACGGCGCCGCAGGCTCAGCGCCAGCAGCCCACGGCGACCACATATCAGACGACGCAGCAACAGCAGCAGCAGCAGCAGCAGCAACAGCAGGCGCAACAGCCCGCTGGTCAGACGCAACAGCAGCAGCCGCATTACGAGCTGGACAACGTGACCTATCTGAGCTCCACGGCGGCGGCTACTCCAGCGGCGGCAGAGCAGCAGCAACAGCAGCAGCACGTGATCGGCACGGTGCAGAGCTACCAGATCCTCACGCCCGACGGCCTGCAGAACTTCCAGCCCAAGCTGGAGCCGGCCGAACTGGGCGACCTGTGTCCCTACTCGCAGTACACCTTCACCACGCACGCCGGCGCGCAGCCCACGTTGAATGCCAACGCGCTGGACGCGCAGACGCAGCATCAACAGCAACAGCACCACCAGCAGCAACAGCACCACCAGCAGCAACACCACCAGCAGACGCAACTCCTACAGCAGCAGCCCTTCGCCACGCACCACAATCCGCACCAGCAGTTCATGGAGCTGAAGAACGAGCTGCTGATCAAGGGCGGCGACGCCTACGCCTTGGACGCCGCCTCCATGTACCACCTGCCCTTCTCGCCCACCTCGATGATCAATGCGGTGAACGATGTGAACACCTCGTCGCTGCTGGAAACCAAAGAAATTAGGTAAACGCTCTTTCCAACTAACCAAGCCACTAGTCCACCTCCTACTCCTCTTGCTCCTCTGTCTGCCCGACTTCTCTTAGTGTAACGCGCTCGATTAGATTGCCGCTCCCTGTAACTGTATCTGTACTATATCTCTGTATCTGTATCTAATAACTCTATCTGCCTCCGTAACCCTTTCATTGCGATTGCGACGCTGATCTTCCTTTCACGTATTTAGAGTCGCGCGACTTAAGTACTTAATGTGCTTGAGATACCACAAAGAACACTTTAAACACCCGATGGCCGCCGACAAAAAACACGAAAACTGAACATTACTGGGAGGGGGGATACTTTAAGCATTATCTTGTTTAGTTTTAAATTAGGATTATGCATACTTTAGTTATATATTTTGTACTTATCCTTAGTTCTTACGTATGTGTTTTATTTTCGTAGCCCTTAACAGAGTTTTTCAGTTTGTATCTTAGTCGTATGAATTGAATTTTGTGCATTTATTTATTTACCAATCACGAACCCACAGAGGTTGCTTCCTTGTAAAATAATATGCCAACGATTAGCCAACCCCCTCAATTAATACCCCGAATTAATCATAATAACCAACTCGTTTCCTTTTCGTTTCGAGAAATACTTGTGTTCAAATACGTTTTATACTTCAATGCAATTTTGTTCTTTTTCTTTCTTTTTCTCTTGTTTTATTTTATGTACACACAACCAACCCACGAACCAACCAATCAATCAATCAATCAAAACAACAACCCAACAATATAACACTCGCCTAAATAAATAAAAACACGCCTTATAACTATAGCTACGATATATCAGAGGCAGTGCTACTAGCTCTCTGAACAATCGTCCACCACAGAAAGCTGCAGCCAAAGTACCAAAAATTCTATTTAACGAATAAATGACTCAAGCTCGAGTTCGAAAAAAGATCGCTAACGAAACGAGTATGATGTGAAAACCTTGCCCATAAACCCAGTCAAAAGCAACGCAAATGGAAGCCATTTTTAATGTTTGCCAAGACCAGCGGCCAAGCAAAAACAAAATTCGAGCATACTAACTTATCGAAACATTAGTGTACTTACATCCGTCGCGTCACATACCCATAATACTCAAATGCCTGAGGACATCACCTCTTTCATTGATTCACTCATTACTTCGTCATCACTCGTTGTGTGTGTGTGCAAGAGCAGCATCGACCAACAGCTAAGATTTATAAACACAAAAACGATCTCCAACACAGCTTAAATGCAAATAAAAAAAAAATATAAAAAAATAAAAAATAATATTGGACAATTAGTGAAAGGTATGTGTACTTTTGTTTACTCGTTTTATTTCCTTGTTTATGATTTTGTTTTGCCTAACACTCTTCTGTTTTGTGATGACTAACCAAATATCCCCTGGGTTACTGCATCCTAACAATTGGTTTATTCCAAAAACGGGGAACTGCTCGAAACGATACTCATACATATATTTTTAACCAAATATATAACTGACCACTGACAATAGATCCACCAACATGCATCCCCGCACATCTACATTCGATCCAATTACGAAATCATTCATGAGCGTCGTTATCATTTACTAACCCCAAATTAACTTTGGTTTAAGCATATCTAACATCTAAATTAAATGAAGGGAGTCTAAAATAAGAAACCAGCAAATATGCTAATCAAATTGTTTTTATTTTTCTTTTTTCACCCGACAACATTTTACGTTCGTCTGTTGTTTGTGATTTTGTGTTATTCCCTATGATTTGCACACAAAAATTCATGATCATGCGACACAACAACCACATGAACAACAACAGGTTCTTCTAAACAAGACAACAACAACCCGAAACAAATGTTCAAGCGGCCATACACACCCAGCAATCACAGTACCCAGAACACCACCACCACCACCAACAACAATCCAAATCCAGACCAGAATCAGAATCAGAATCAAACCCAGAACACAACACACGAAGATTCGCAGCGTCGCCAGGTGGAAGCGTATCGCATTTACTACGAAGAGATAATCGTCAAGCAGGCGAATGCCCGCAGTCGCAACATCACAGCCGCCAGCAGCAGCAGCAGCTTCGTCGACAAGTTCGCCGACTTTGTCAGAACTTCCCCCATGTCCAAGCCCCATGTCCAGTCCCATGTGCCGTCTCCCACCAGTAATGCGACTAATGCCAACCTCCTTCCTCCCAAAACCAACAGCAGCAGCAGCAACAGCGGTAGCACCAGTGGCAGCAGCAACAACGTGAGCAGTAGCAATGGCCTCAAGCCGGCGGCCAAGAAGACGCCAGTCATCCTGCTGGCCGCTCGTGGTGCCGCCAAGCAGCCGCAGCTCAATATTCTCAATGGAAATAGCAAGTCCGGAAACGGCGTCACTTTGGTGCGCCTCAATGCGACTAATCGGAATCAGCGCCAAGTTATCGTCGCCCCCGAAGCAGCTCCTGTGGAGCAGCAGCCCGAGGAGCTACTCGCCGAGGACGAGGAGGAACTCGACGATGAACTGGACGAGGATGCCGTGGCCCTGGGTGCGCTCTCCTCCTCGACTGCCCAGATACTGCGAAAGTTTCGCATACCCAAGGGCACGGCGGTGACGGCCAAGTCGGGTGACAACTACCTGGCCATGCCCACGCCCACTCCCTCGCCGCCAGGTGTCGTCAACCTGGTTAGCTCCGGCGTCGAGGCTTCGGCTTCGGGTTATATTGAGAACGAAGACGACATCATTGAGGAGCTCAACGAGGACGATCTGGTCGAGGAGATTATTGACGAGGAGCCCAGCCAGGAGCAGCCAGAGTTGCAGGAGGCGACGACCACGACGGACGGGCTCGACCTGAGCAGCAGCAACACGAACAACGCGGCAGCGGCGGCCACAACGGCAGCCACCATGCTGCTGGCCGCCCCCCAACCGCCGCCGCCGCTGCAGCTGCAAACGGTGGCCTCCAATGGTACTGTGACCTGCTTTAATCTGCCGCCCAACACCATCCTGCTGCAGTCGGCCGATGGCAGCATAATTGCCGCCACCCAGGTGCCGCATCCCAGCAAGGCGGGCCAGCAGCAGCTGATAGCGCTGCCGGGCAACGTGGCCCTGGCCACCGAACCGGCGACCCAGGCGCAGCAGACTACGGCGGCGACACCACAGGCCACGCAGACCCTCATCCTGACCGCCGACGGCACGGCCATTCCCATCCTGGCGGCCGCTCCCCAGCAGCAGCAGCAGCAACAGCAGCAGCAGCAACAACAGCAACAGGCTGCCGCTGCTGCTGCTGCTCAGTTGTTCGCCGCGTAGGGGCTAATGGGTGGCCAAATGGGTCGATTTTTGAACAGCGCCACCATAATGCCGACCACTTACTTCTTTTAGAAATTTAGACTTAGTTGCCCATGAGACAAGGCTTTAAATTAGCCTTGTACTGTCGGCAACACTAAAACGTTTCCCTAAGGTTTTAGAATACTTCAAAAATCGTCACATTTGGCCACCAACGAAAGGGGAAATTGGAAACAAAGCTGTATAAAAAAATGAATAATAACTCAAACATAAGCCAAGCTAAACTAATTGATATTACCACACTGTTGGATGTGCATACGAAATTTATTTTTTTATTCAAAAACCAAATGCCTACAAGAATATAAATCAAATGTTGTTCAACACACAGAAACACACACGCGATTGGTGTTGCGGAAGAATCAAATATATACATACATACGTTTCAAGGCAAACTTAAGAGCATCGTAAATTTAAATTATTTGTACGCCTAAGCTAAATTCTAAACGTTTAAGTGCAAAGACGAGACACACACCCCAAACCAGTTGTAACTATTTTAACCCGCCAAGAGAGCGGGCGAAATATGTTTAGCCTAATTTAGTGTTGCGAGAATTGTTCCGTTTAATTGAAGGATAACTCACTTTTGAAACTCCTCGTAGCAATTCTTTGCATATACATATACTTATAAATATAATTTGTTCCTTGCATAATGAGAGATAGACCGGCAACTATGCAACGTATTTCATATAGTATTTATTCAATAAGTTCTCAATCTATTTATTTATTTTTGTTAACCAATCTTATCCGTGCACCCCCGAAACCTCTTGTCATTTTAATTTCTTTTAACGTGTTGTATATTCTTTACGTATATTTTATTTGCAATTTTGTTATGCCATTCATATACAAATAGGAATTCAAGCATAGCACTGACCTAACATTACTCTAAGTTGTAGGCTCGATACTTTAGACTAAAGTATTTTTTAAAAGATTCTTGCGAACCCAAAAACAAGAACAAAACAACAACACACTAAGCTAAGCGAAGCTAGGTTAAGCCTAACATAACTCTAAACGATGGAAGACAATGATTTAAAATATATAAAAATATGTAATCTAAGACAAATAAGCAAAATTGAGTTGCACTTCTGTAAGATATACTTTAAATAATAACGAAGCAAAAAAGCTAAAAAATAAGCAACTCGGTAGCCTACATTATGTATGATACAAATTCTAAAGCTAATATTACTTTAATATATATATATTTATTATAAACAATAAAATACAATTTTAAAAATTTAAAGCAATAAAATATGTATGGTTTTATTTTTGAAGCAGATAAATTTCTGCGTTTTAGTTGATTTATTTGAATGCCTTGAAAAATTCGGCCATACTTTACATTTGTAAAGTGAGTAGTATCCGACGAAAAGGTATAAAAATAAAATTATGAAATAGATTTTAACTTTGAACTTTTTCGTTTCCCTTTATTTTTCGTGTATGATTTGCTTTTTACAAAAACATGATAAGTCAGTAACATAAAATATAGTAAAGTATCTAGTCTCGAGATGAACGTTACTTCGGCTTTCTTTTTGTCTGGATTGGCTGCATGGCCTGGACATACCAAACGATACCCCCTACGTGTGCGCTCGGGGGCTTTACGTAGTTTTCCATAATAGTTACATTCATTTTGTAGAGACCCAATGGAAAAAAGTTCGGGATAAGAGATTCGTCGAGATATGCATCGCGTGCGAATAAATGACCGGCAAATGGACAGCTATGGTTAAAGTTTGAGAATTTCTTGGCAATTTTAAGAATAATTAACCCGTATGGCATAAAACTTCGCCTTGCTAATAAATCGCAGACATTTAATATCACATCTATAAGAAAAGGCTGGAATTTATTACTGTAGTCTCTTTTGAACACCTGAAGTTGGACCTGAAATCATTATTTTGGTTAATAAAACATTTTATGAGAATACTATTTTTGGAAATGAACTCACTGATATATTATGCAACGGGTTTACGAGATCCACGTCCATTTGGGCCACAGCTTTGTTCCAATTAAGGGCCTTTAAACGGCATGATGCATTTGCAGAGTACCCAGGCATTGTCACGCACTCGATATTTTTCAATTTGTATACAACGGAGGGATCACACAGCTGGCAAATTGTGTTTAAGTTCTTAAAAACATGAGAATTTAATGCTATGACTACTGCTACTCACAACGCTCCAGGATAGGTGACTAACAAACACGACTAGAACAATGGAATGCATTTCTGAAATATGTATGTCGAATTTCTGCCATAAACAATTTTACTTTGATCGCCACAGTCTAATGTGCTTTTAATAGTCTTCGTTTTTCACAAATTACACGAATTGTAATTTAAAGGCATTTATTCGTCGTCATTGATTGGTTCAACATCAATGAATACACTGTGCAACATACAAAAGCAAAGCCATAAAGGAAATACAAAAGGATACTTTGCAGCTTAGCAAATATATTAATTATATTATCGGTCGAGGTAACCCACTGTCTGTTCTCAAATATGAATTCTTAACTATCAATTAAATACTTCCTATTTCTCTATTCCAAAAGACTAAAATAAAAAACAACTGATTTTAGAAAACTATACCTCAATGAGCATATATATTTCAATGATGGCTTCCCGATTCGTAACATTAACAATTACTATGACTAAATGTGAAATTCGTTTAGGCATTAACATTTTTAGAGACCCGTTCCGGAGTCAGATTCGACTATTAATTAGTCACTGACGCGGGCATAGACCACGGCCGTGCGTGATGGTGTGTAGACCTCGATGAAGTTTGATCGACCGGCATAGCCCTCCGGATTGGAGGGATGCTTGCTGTTGGCATCGATGCGGTTGTATCCACCGAAGAGTGGATCGTCCGAGGAGAGCACCGCCTGGTAAGTGCCCGCCCAGTTGGTACCCACGCGGTATCCGGTGAAACTGCGCTGCGGATGGAAGTTGAAGACGAAGACCAGGCCGGCACGCTCGAAGGCGATGATCTTGTCGCCCTCATGCTTCCAGCTGACCCAGGCGGGTCCGGAATGCAGCCAACCGTAGCGCTCTTCGGCCTCGTTCATGGCCCGATCGAACTCGTTGAGGAACTTGTACTTCAGCAGATCGTCGTCCACCAGATTCCACTGTCGGCGAGCATAGTGATACGAGTCGTTGTTGCCGACGCGCGGAAAGTCCAGCCACTCGGGATGACCGAACTCGTTGCCCATGAAGTTGAGGTACGCCTCACCGCCCAGAGCGTGCGTGATCAAGCGGATCATCTTGTGCAGCGACAGTCCTCGGTCGATAATCAGCGAGGAGTCCGAAATAGTCGACATGTGCGTATACATCTCCTTGTCCATCAGCCAGAAGGCCACCGTCTTGTCGCCCACCAGCGCCTGATCGTGGGACTCGGCGTACGCCACAGTGTTCTCCATCCAGCGGCGATTGGTCAGCGTATGCACCAGGTTGCCCATGTCCCACTCGTCGTCGCTCTGCTCCTTGAGCAGCTCGATCCACTTGTCTGGAATGGCCATACCCAGGCGGTAGTCGAATCCGATGCCACCCTCCGAAACGGGACGACACAGGGTTGGCATTCCAGAAACATCCTAAGTGGAATAAAGAAAAGGTTTAGTATATCATAGTAAATGGTTTCCCCTAAAATCGATACTAGAGCCCTGAGTGACTCATTTATTAATTTAATTTTACGTGAAATAGAATGTTTGTCTAATTACATTTCAAATTGAATGATTGAATGAATCAGTTTTTATGGGAAATTTTTTGAAATTGCCAGATTGTTTTGTGCTAATTCTTTTGACAACAAAATTGAATGACTAAATTTAAAAAAATCAATGTTAAATTTGTTAGTAAATAAAATTCAGCCAGATTTATCACAAAATTATGGTCCTATCTTCTTAGTAAAATAAAATGTCAGTTTGCAGTTATTTCGAATTCATGTTATTCATTCATTCAATTCTATTTAACTCAATAGAATTCGGTTTCATTCAATTCTATTAAACTCAAAATTTTAATTAATTCATTCATATAAAATAAAAAATTCAAAATAATTCATTGAATCTATTCATGCAGGGCTCTAATGGAAACTAGCACACCACTTACCTCTGCAATAGTGATAATCCTCGGATCTAGGGTGTGCAGCAGATGATTTGCCAGACCCAGATAATTCAGGGCATCCGTGTCGACGTTCAGGCCAAAGTACTCGTTGTAGTCCCCGCTGAAGCCCTCACCTATTCCTCGGGAGTGGTACAGCATAGAGGTGACTCCGTCGAAGCGATAGCCGTCGAAGTTGTACTCGTCGTGCCACCAACGCAGGTTGGACAGCAGGAACCGCAGCACCTCGTACTCCACGTAGTTGAAGAGACGGCTGTCCCACAGCGCGTGCTCGCCACGGGCTCCGTCGTGGAAGAAGCAACTGTTGGTGCCATCGAACTGGTTCAGGCCGTCCTGTACGTTCTTCGAGGCGTGCGAATGGACCACATCGAGGAGAACGAACAGGCCATGCGAATGGGCCACGTCGATCATGCGCTTCAGTTGCTCCGGATTGCCAAAACGACTGGAGGCCGCGTAGAAAGCTGGTCACCTGGTAGCCAAAGCTGGCGTAGTACGCGTGCTCCATGATGGCCATCACTTGGATGCAGTTGTAGCCCTGCCGCTTGATGCGCGGCACGATTCGGTCGGCGAACTCGTCATAAGTGCCCACACGCGGCTCCTGGGAGGCGATGCCCACGTGGCACTCGTAGATCCTCAGCGACTTGGGCCTGGCCGGACCTTGGTGCTGGCGCTGGTAGCGCTCGTAGGACGGCGGCTCCCAAACGTACTGCTTGTAGTTGACCCCCTGGTTGGCCGACTTGGGTGGCTGCACCACGTACTTGGCCCAGGGCGACAGGCGATCCAGCAATTGGCCGGAATGATTGCGAATGATTACCTTGATTTCGCTCATGTGCTTGATGGCCGGACTGCCGTCCTCGTTGGGGGGCAGGTGGAGCTCCCACTTGCCAAAGTCGAGCTTTTTGAACGGATGCGACTCCCAGTGCCAGTTATCTGTGGGGTTTAGAATCAGTTAAACTGGATCTATAGAGTCTGTATAGTGGAGGACTTACTGAAATCACCCGTAAGATATACATCTCTGGCTCCAGGTGCCCACTCACGGGCAATCACCGAATTGTCCGGCTGGAAGTGCAGGCCATAGTATTTGTAGGCCTGTGAGAACTGATCCAGTCCGCCCTCGCCCTGGTTTATCTTGTTTAGCCAATCTTGGAGAACTCCATGTCTGTGGATTGAATGATTACGTTATTCAAAGACATTAAGACATCAAGAGACATGGTTTAAACATTTCCAGCAAAGCTTGGAGGTGTTTATTTTAGTTCAAAGATGAAGCTAAGCTGTCGTGGAGGCTATTTTAAGATTCCCTGATTTCAAGAGGTCAAACTTATGTATAATTCAATGTTATTCGATTATAGATAAATGGGAATTAGCTAGCATTTTTTTGAAAAGTGTTTTATTTTAGTCAGCTAGATTATAGATCGTAGATATCTTTTTTTTTATTTAAGCTGACTGACAAAAAGTTTAAAACTTTTTTATACATAGTATAGGTTTTTTTACCCTTGTAGAGGGTATTCAAATTTCAGTAAGATGTTTGCAAAATACATAAATTTTGATCAGCACCAATAGCCGAAACTATCTAGGTGTCCATCTGTCCTGTGTAATACTTAGTTTCTAACTAGTATCACATTTTAAAATTGAGGTGTGTTTTTTAAAAATGGTCTGTACTTTTATTGGGTAGTACATATTGGAATAAATATAAGTTTTTGTCTACTTAAAATACAAAATTGAAATAAAACAAAACCCGCATCTTAAATCCCTGGATGCACCGAGTAAGTATGCTTTTTCTACTTTACAGCTTCGGCTGGCGAGGTTTTTTTTTTTTTTTTTTAAACAAAATAACGAAAATAAAAAAATTAAGGTAAAATATACTTATTTGTAAACCATCAAAAATATAAACTAAAATGATCAACTAAATATTTCAAAAATATTTCAAATAAAAAGTCTTTAAATCAAAGCTATGATTTACAGGTAATGCAACTTTAAAACAAACAAAATAATGTTTTAAAAAGAAAAACCATCTTAAAATCCCAAAGTTGTCCGCTCGAAAATAGAAAACAAAACAAAATACTCAAAAGCAGAAGACCCGCCAAAGCGTCTAGATTTGCAGTGATGTAAAAATAGAAAAGACGCCGGACGCAATTCGGGAACCCGGAAAATGCCATCAAGGCCAAGATCCATGCTCCAAACACGCCGGCAGCACGCAGCGAACACATCGGGTATAGAAATGTTTTTAACAAACACACACAGACCAAGACTAACTAACACACACGACGGGCGGGGCGGGGCGGCAAACACCGGCGACCTTCATTCGACATTGCGAACGCAGTTTTTCCAACTGCATGGCTGATACGGCTGCAGCATGGTTTACGGGTTACGGGCAACGGTTGCCCTATAAAGTTACGCCTCTTATCAGCATGGAGCGCATAAAGCCGGCGCCAACCTTGGGTTACGCGATGTGGAGGTGGATGTACCACTCGGATCTCTACTCACCGGCGACGGATCTCGTGCTCGTGGGACCTTAGGTAGCCGTCCGTCTCGAACAGCTTGTCGATGTCCTTAACCTCGACCATGGCGGAGGAGAATGAATCCGCGAAGATTCTCTGGCAAGCGGGAAAAGAAGAGGCTGTGGCGGAGGCGCTGCTGGTTTGCCTGCTGACCGAACGACGACTGTGCTCATTTATCAGCTGCAGTCCAACTCAAAAGCTCGGGAGCTTTCCCCCGGATCAGCTGTTTTCGCCGCCTACCTTTTGCGCCCCCCATTCGCGTATGTAAACAACAAAAAGGACCGCCTGTAATTGCATGTTTTTGTCGCCAAACGTTGCGTATTTGCACTGATAGCACCTGGGTACATAGTACGTATACGCCCCAATTGCCGCTGATTGCTGATCTGATTGCTCTGACATGCTTGAACCGGCATCAGAATCTACAGCGCTATGTGGAAAACATCATGATTTGGGGTCGTCGTTGTCAAGTTCATTAGATGGCTGACTGAATACATGAGTTTGAAAGTCGAAGGGTTATGATTTGTTTATTATTTCACGATGAGATTGCTTAATAGATGCTAGATTGTGTTGTGACCTCGCCCTTTAAACTAATAGATAAGATTTGATTATAAATCTGTTAAAGAAATGGATACACTCTCTATTTATGGAATGTATGATAATTCAAATGGCGATAAATATAAATGAATTTTTATTAAATTGTATTCCCCATTACGACAAAAAAGTTATAGCACCTAATTTTCAATTGCATGAAAACCCCCATTAAAGCTATAATAAATGTTGAGTCACATCATAATACCTGCTATCAGAATATTTAAAAATGGGCGCGATTTCGAAGGCGATAAGAAATTCCTATAAAAAACAGCTGTACACCAAATAACCTTAAAAGTTTTATTTAACCAGCTCTCTTATCTGAAACTTGTAATCTTTGGAAAATTTCCCAGATTTAAAGTTTCTATTAAATTGCAATGGAACTCAAAAAGTGCTATTCGTGCAATGCTATCAATAAGCTTAAATAATTTATACTGAACTGGTGGTGAACAAAATGATTGGAAAATGGATAGAGCCAGCAGACCTTAAAACTTAACAGGAAGGCCCTTGTCGGAAAAACGTTCATCCTTTCCAAAAGGTATGCTCAAAGGACGGAGCTGGAAACACTCTCGATAACCTCGAAGGCGTTGGCTATGTCCGCATCCTCCAGCAAACGATTGACGGCGATGCGAATACTGGGACGCACCGGCTGGCGTTCCCTGTTCTGCAAGTAGGCAGCCTGCACAACGGCCACTCCTCGAGCAATGCACTGTAAAAAATATGGGATATATAGTTTTTATGACACCAAATAGGAAAGAGCGTTATACCTTATCAGCCAGCTCTGTGAGCAGTTTTAGTTCCTTGTCAAAGTTCTCGGCGGGCTGGGCCAAATACAAGTGCTTCACTGGCGACAATTCGTTGCCACGCAGGGTCAGCTTGCTGAAATGCGAAAACTTCTGGTGCAGCGTCTTAGACTTGGCCTGCAGTTGCCCAAAGATCTTCGGTTCCCGTTCGAAGCGATCCAGAGCGGAAATGGCCGCCTGGGTGAGCATGGGCGGCAGGGAGGCCGAGAAGATGTAACCCAAACCGGAGAGCCGCTGGTGCTCGGCTATGAAGTGTGAGCCCACGCAGAAGCCACCGATGGTGGCCATGGATCCCTCCATTCCAGCTGATATAAGATCGACTTCATCGCGCTAAAAGTAGACAAAAAATAATGATTCCCAGTTCCTATTAAATCTAGATTGTTCCACCTACATCGACATTGAAGTGCTCGGTGACTCCGTGACCACCTTGGCCCAAAGTGCCAAAGGAGATGCTCTCGTCGATAAACAGTCGCAGCTTGTACTTCTGACGCAGGGCCACCAGTTCCGGTAGCGGGCAAATCTCGCCGGTATTCATGTAGATGCCCTCGGCGACGAGGAAGCGGCGTGTCTTGAGCGCCTTCTTGGGGTTCTTCTGGTCCCGCTTCTCCTGTTCGATCAGCAGACGCTCCAGATCCTCGACGTCGTTGTGCTTGAAGAAAGCGATTGTGCTGCGCGAGGCATCCAGGCCCTTCTGAATGGCAAAGTTAACAGCCTCGTCCCTGTGATTAGTGAATCATTAAATGTAAAAGAAATAAATATAATGAAAAGTGACTTACACGAAGATAAGGTCACCACGCTTGGCATACGCGGGAATAGCACTGGCCACCGTTGAGAACCCGTAGGAGTACACAATGGCCTCCTCCAGGCCCATGAACTTGGCAATACGATCCTCCAGGTCGAGGTGCACATCCATGGTGCCGTAAAAGCCACGCGGTCCGCAAGATCCTACGCCATACTTGCGCAGCGACTTACAGGCCTCATCCAGAATCTCCTGGTCCTCGAGGAAGCCCAGGTAGTTGTGGGAGCCCAGGTTCAGGCAGTCGTGGCCGTCGACCTTGATGTGCTTGCCCACTTTCGACTGAACGATGCGGGTACGCAGCAGCGGATGATTGGGATCGGTGTCCCCCACCAGGGGCTCTGGTTCATAGTCGGCGATTATGCGGTCCTCCTCCTCCTTGGTCAAACGGCGGCGACGACCTCCTCCTCGCCTGTGCAGCAGCAGCCAGATCACGGTTATGACCAGTAGGGTCTCCAAAACGAGGGCAAATGTAGGGGTCTATCCGGAGGAACGCAAAATGTAACCGGTTGAGTACGAATAATATGGGGTATAGAACAAAAACCAAACTCACGTTTCGGAATATGCTGCCGATTTCGTTAAACAACTGGATGGCCACCATTTTGGGAGTTCTGTTCTGAGCCCTTCCTGCGGAAAATCAATTGAAAACCACCGTAATTCCCTCGAAGTATGTGTCATGCAGAAGACGCTTTCTTATCGCCATGCACAGAGCAATTAGTATCATACCATACGGTATGGAATACTTTTGAATTGGGTGTGTGGGCTGACATAAACCATAATCAGGCAGGTGGGGAATTCAAACCCATCCCCTATTCCGCCATTTTTTCCGTTTTTATTTTAATTCGGGTTGAGCTACTCACCACAAAAGTCGGTTAAAAAATATTATAAGGCGTGTTATTATATCCGCCAACCAGCTGATTAACAGAATGTACTAAAAAATACCAAGGTCTGCATATTTTTGAAATTCACGAAGGGCGAGCTTAAAGCTCACACCCCCAATAATTCGCCCATTAAATAAACTTTTAAAAATATCATCACTATCCAGAAAAAGTCTAGAAAATTATTCTGGTGATTTTCAGAAACTAAAACAAACAATTAACTTAAAATATACTCTGCAGTTCCACGATTCATCACTGCTCGAAATTATTGCCTTCGATCTCTCTCTTTAAACAAACTGATTTACCGATAAAAATGGTGATGATTACTTTACCACTGATTCGTAGGACATGGTAATGCCTTAAATCATTACTAAGCAAAAGGGATAGTATTCAACCTAACAAAAAGTCTCCCACAAAAAACTTCAAATGAAAATTACGTCCAGAAACTTTGTTGAAACATGAAGCACATAATCATGCACAATATTAAAATGTCGAAAATCGCATGTTTCAAATTTGGCTGATACCAATCCCATTTCAAATGCATATTTGCCTTCTCTCTTCAAAAGTTGAATAAAAACTCCACTTGATTAATTTGTTTTAATGTATAGATTTATTTGTTAATGTTTCTTCTCTAATGCTTTTCTTTCAATTGTTTGCGTTGATTGTAAAAATAAAACAATAATGATAATAAAACGTTAAAACAAGTTGTACTGCCTAGATACGTAGTGCCAGATTAAAGACCGAGTTTCATTCAATTGCTTTGTCACTGTCAAAGAGAAAATGCTTTGTGGAAAATGAAAAGCGAAACATTAATGCAGGTTCAATTTATAATGAAATAGCAGGTCTTCATGGTACACACCCCTTCTGTGGGTTAGGTAAGAATTTTGATTGAGGGATAGACCTCGTAGTTGATTGGTTTGGACTAGCCCAAACAGGCTAAACTAAGTTAATTTTGTTTTACTGTTTGTTAATCTTTTAAAACTATTTTATAAAGTTTAGTTCAGATTTGTGGTTTCCTCCTCCTTCGCGACATTGTAGACGACGGGTTGGGTCTTGGATGGTGGAACAGGGTGGCGCAATGCCCTCTACTTCTTGTCGGCGCCCGCATTGGACTGTGTGGAGTACGAATATTGAGACCAATAATGATTGGTGGCACCGCCATCATTATTCCCAGCGGCGCCTCCGACATTGACGCCTGCTCCGCCACTGGCATTACCGGCCGCTGCTCCGCCAGAACCCTGTTGCTGTTGCTGCAATGGAAATAATGTGCTCTTTAGTAATCAGGTTTCTTAATCTTGGACCAAGAATCCTTGCTTACCTGCCACCAGGACATCCACTGCTGTTGCTGCTGCGGATCGGCACTCTGCCAGGCCTGTTGGTTGCCATAACCTGTGGGCAAAATACTGTTAGTTGTTGCACTTAAGAATCGCGCAATGCTGTACTCACCCTGCATTTGATTATAGGCCCAATATTGTTGTTGGCCAGCCGCCGCCTGCTGAGGCTGTTGGTACTGTTGTGCCGGCTGCTGAGTCTGCCAGACGCCAGTTTGATGCTGCGGCGCCTGCTGCTGCTGATGGTGTTGGGTGTATGTGCTCCACTTGCCGCTTAGGGAGGCCTGCAAAAGAGATTTCTATTAGTTATCAATATAATTTCATGTTTACTCTTGCACCTACCTTGCCTCCGCCAGGTGTTCCACCCGCCTGCTGCTTGTACTGATCGTAGCCACCGCCGACACCGGCGTTATTGCCGTACTTGGGCAGCGCTTGACCAGCCGACCGCTCATAGCCACCGCGACTATCTTCTTTGGTGTCGCGGTGGCCAGGCCGAAAATCCCGTTGTTGATGAGTACCGCCCCCCGAGCGATAGCTGCTCTGGCTGCTGCCCCTGTTGCGGTCATTACTTCCCATTCGACTGCGGTCGTTGCCACGGTCTCGATCGCGGTAGTCACGCGAGCTTCCGTAGCCGCGATCGTCATAACCGCTTCGGCGATTGTTCTGCATCCAGTTTTGCTGACCACCACCACCGCCGCCGCCTCCTCCGCTGCCTCCTCCGTATCCACGGTTGCGATTATCGTAGCCACGACTGCCGCTTCCACCGCCGCCGTAGCCGCGGTCATCGTAGCCGCTACGGCGACTGTTTTGCACCCAATTCTGCTGGCCACCGCCGCTTCCGCCGCTGTTGTAGCTGCGGCGATTGTCGTACGCACGGCTGCCGCCTCCTCCGCCTCCACTATTGCTGGAGTAGCCGCCGCCGCCGCCGCCTCCACGCCGCGAATCGCTCCACCTACTTTCGTGCCGCTGGCCACCGTAGTCGCGTCGTCGGTCATCGTTGTATCGATTCCGGTTGCGGTCATCACGACGATAGTTGTCGCGACCTCCGCGAGATCTCTTGTCCCGGGACCTCTCCGCATCGATGGCCTTCTTTCCCTTCTCGTTGTACTTCTTGACCTCGCTCTTGGCCTCGTCTCCGGTGAGCTCCGTGTAGTTTATGTCATCGAACCAGCCAAACTCCAGCGAGGGAAGTGTGAAGTTGGCTGGAAAAAGATTACGTGCATATCATTAATACGGCTGCTTAGCAAGCTAATTCACTCATTATCTTTACACATTATTGTAGATGTAAGGGGACAGGGCGGGTCAATTGTCAGCAACTGGGCGTATAAGTTTTAGAAAATCGATTTTAAATTGAATTTAATGCATAGAAAGTTTTATGCTTGTCTGTTAAGATATAATATAAAAATTAATCCTTTATACGTTCCAGTTGCCACGGGGATTTGTGGGTATTTATAGAATAAATATTAATGAATAATGGAAATAATAAGCATTAAATTATGATATACTTTTAAAGGCTTACAGTTACAATTACGTACAGATACATAAAGTGCAGCTGCTTACAAACTAAATACTTTACATAACTTTTTATATTGTTTTTTTTTTCGTTTTTACAAGAATGTCTCCTTATTTAGATAGGTAGAACATAAGTTATACGATCGTACATTATTCTGGATATTTTCATTTCAATTCGTTGCTTTGGTGTGGTGGACAATATTTACCTCGTAAGTTATTAATTGTTGATTCTTTAACTGTAAAAGCATTTCCCTTTTCCTCTTTTTCGGCGATGCGACGTTTCAATTCATCTTCGCTGGGTATGCAAACAACCGCAATGCGCTTGAAGTCGTTAAAACCCTTCATTTTACGTCGCTGGGCCGAGGCATATACATTTGGTCTACAAGAATACAGTTGATCGGTTGGTTGGTGTTTTGTTGAATTGGTTTCAGATTTTGTCTGCCAGTTGTAGTTTGGTTGGATTGGTTTGTTGGTTGTTGGGATGGTCGTCGAACGGATAGCAAGCCATTTGAGAAACACGTTGATGATTCGGCTCGGTTGCAGGTACTCCGTACCCCCGTCGAGCTCGGGCTCTGCGCTTACAAGCTAACACATACCTGTTGCAGGGCGGGACACCCACTTCCAGCCCGCACTCCGCAGGGGAGGGGTCTTACGGAAGGGGCGCGCACACCAACATAATACCTAGGGGCCTCCGGTTAACCGGGCGCCACTTCTAACAACAGTTGACTTAATACTTTGCATAAGGATAATAAAATGTACAATGGGGTAAAAGTAGTCGTGGTTGGCTGTGCTGCTGGCTGTAGGATGAAGCATCGCTTAGCTCTCTGTAGATACACATACATATATATCAGATAGTTGGCATTTAGAGAGAGAGATAGAGAGTAGAGATAGTAGGTACTAATACGTATATGTGATTAGATTGTAGGCGAACGACTCGTCGATCGGAATTGTGTTTGTCTACTTACAGTGGCTTCCATGCCGCTCGCTCCTCCTTCCTTCACTTCATTTCACTCACTCATCTTTCTCCAATGCCATTTCCATTTCCATATCCACTTCCATCCCCACTTCTCTTACACTGCCCTCTTAACTGCCCCGTCAACTGTTGCACCTGCATCTAAAACTTAAGGCTACGGGTACGCCATAGATACTTACTGCCTCAAACTTAAGCACTCTAATTATCGGATCGACTTACAGTTAGGACATACCTGCCTGCCAAGTTGGCGCCCCTCTGGGGGCACTTGGGATCACTACGCTTCGAGCAATGAGCAGTTAAATTCATACTCAAATGTACAGAACAAAAAAATGTAGAGCAACTTAGTTGCCCCCCTGCTGGTGGGGCCCCAAAGTCCCAGTGGGATGGCCGGGCGCCAAAGTCATCATCAACGTTTAATTCTCGCTTGTTTCGTTTGGTGTTTGGTTATCGTTCGTTCATAGTGTTATCTTGTGTGTTTTTGTGGGCTGGTGTTTTGTTTCGGGTGTTTGTGATAATCATTTGTTTATGGTTTACCTGATCGAGTATGAAATTGCGACGCCGTTTCATGGCAATATCTTCCAGAGCCGCCAGGCTGTTCAAGCATATCTCGTATACCTTGTCCCAACGGCCTTTGTGCACAGTCTTGCGGGAGGCGCCATCGATCTGCAGAATGGTATTGATTAAAGAATGTGTTAAGCAGATAGTTTCATCTAAAAATCAACGTACCGTCATCTTAGAAATAAACGAATCGGGTCCAATGAACTCGTAACGCTTGTCGGCGTTCTCAGCCACATGAGCCAGGGCCCAGTGGGTCTTGCCGGCGCCGGGCAAGCCGACTAGCAGAATGACTTCGCACTCCTTGCGAGAAGCGGCGCGTTGAGGGCCGGGAACCAACTGTTCGACGGGCACTAGACCGATCAGTACATAGCCTTCTAGCAAAGCAGCGGTATCCCTGGGCTCGGGCTCAACATCCTCATACTCATCCTCGGTCGTCTGCGACTTCTCCTTTTCCTTCTCAGACTCCGCTTTCTCAGAATCGCCATCGGTCTTTGGCCGCTTGTTGGGCGACGGGCCGTCCTCATCCTCTTCCTCATTGGCGTCAGCGGGCTTCTTCTCCTCAGCTGGTTTTTCATCGTTGGGTTTCTCTGCAGACGCATCTCCATTGGACACAGCTGCCGTCTCTCCCGAGGCTTCAGTAGATGTTTCAGCTGGAAATGGCAAAAAACACAATAATCACTATGGACGGCAGTCCATGTAGTGACGAAGCGCACCAGAAGAGTGTGCGAAGGCGACTACTATATATACACGAAGAAATGAAAATCTACTGTGATGGTCCGATCATAATGAATAATACACCTAACGAAGGTATTGCGAAAACTAACAGGATTGCATACCAAAACTTTAAGAAAATCAATTGGCTTGGGAGAGAGAGCGGTGAAAGTGAAAAGTGAAAATTTCGAAATTTGGAGCTGTTGGGGCCGGTGGGGATAAATGCCCCCTCGCAATGTTTTAGTTGTATTCCTTTTAAAAATACCCGTCGAATGAGGGGTCATTTGTCAAATCCGACTCTCCGTTCAAAAGTTATAGCCAAAATAAGATTTTCTTCTTCTTCCCAAAATGAAAATTTAATTCTGTTTGTCAGTTTGTCCACTTGTCCGCTTGTCCGCTTGTCCACTTGTCCAAAATATGTTTTTTAAGTTCTAAAAATTTGATATGACGTTCATCACATCGATATAAAAAACTTTTGTTCTACCACTACCGCTAGTTTAGCGGGAAAACAGCTATAAATAGCTAAAAGCAGTAACTTCTTTACTACTAAAGCTACAGACTTGTGCTGCATCTTGTTTGAAAGGTATTTTTAAATGCTATAAACGCCTTTTATATGCAATTTGTGTAAATGTATTAGTTAAAAGATATGAACAAAAAATAATTTGTTTAAACTTTTTTTTAGCTTTTTTAATTTTCACAAAAACGGCTCTAACGATTTTCCTTACAACTTTAAACTGTATAGCCCTTGAGATTCCTTAAATTTTGGTATATAACACATTACTGTAAAAGTCACGTTTAAAAGTAATTTTTATACGAAAATAGCCACTTTGCCAGCTCAGAACAACTAACGCTCCCTGAGTATTGAATTTTGTGGGAGGGTATCCGAACTGTATTTTAGGGTCATGGAATCAGTAAATTTGCACTTAAGAGTTCCATATAGGAATCTTTTGTTCTACGACTTTTGGAAAAGCCGCTACTTTAGCGGGAAAAAGCTAAAAATAGCAAAATTTCGTTAGTTTGTAGTTCTACACTACTAAATCTACAGACATGTGCTATACCTCGTTTAAAAGGTATTTTGAAATACTTCAACGCCTTTTTAACTTAATTTGTTAAAATACAATAGTTTAAAAATTATGATTGACCAATTTAAATTTAAATGTATATATTAGCTCCTATGAGAGCAAATGTAAACAAACAAAAACTTCTGATATCAAATAAAAACACCTCTTAACGAGGTAAAAACTAGTGACGACCGCACCTTCAACATACAAAAGTTCTGATATCAACATTTGTGACGAAAAATTTACACTCGTCTTAAATAGACTTTCTAATCTTTTTCATTCGTCACGCTGCAATAGAAAATGCCTGTGAAGGGAAAAGGCTGGAATAGTTTGCTAGGGCGGGCCGAATGGAAAGATTAGAAGTCTATTTAATGACGAGTGTATAATTTTGTCACAAATGTTGATATGAACTTTGTATGTTGAAGGTGCGGTCGTCTGTTTTCTCGTTAAGAGGTGTTTTTATTTGATTAAAGATTTCAGTAAAATATATTTTTTTTAAACCAACTCTTACCAGTTTCCGAAGACTCGGTAGCCTCTGGTTCTGGCTTAGCAGCTTCAGAAGAAGCCTCGACTTCTGCTTCGGCATCTGTCTCGGCTTTCGGGGCCGACTCAGCCTCTTTGGCTTTTTCTGGCTTCTCGCCTTCCTCTTCGTCTTTCTCAGAAGACTCCTTGCCGTCCTCTTCCTTTTTCTCCACCTCATCATCGTCGGCTGTGGCTTCGTCCAAGACCTTCCACTTTTCGCCATCGTTATCATCCTTGTCGTCGTCTTTGTCCTTATCTTCGTCCTTGCGCGGCTTGCGGCGCTTGCGCGTTGGCCTCTCGGCATTTACCAACAGCTGCTCGGTGTCCGAGAAATTCACCGAATATTCGTAGCCCTTGGTTACAATGTGCGGGAACAGGGCTCCCTCTTCGCCCAGCGTACTCTTCTCAAACTCGAAAGCTACACCGAGATCCTCGCCGTTGAGCGTGTAATTAATGGTGCACGGCTCACTCTCCAGATCCAAGTAACAGCCAATCACGTCATCCAGCTTATACGGTTTGCCGTAGTCCGAAAACTCGCCTTGATTGGCCTTGCGCCCGGTCTCGCAGTATCCAAAAGAAAGCTCGGCCTCGCCCAGCAAAAGGGAGCTCTTGGGCGTGGAGAAGCCCACGCGAAAACCTCGCACATGCGGCTCGTCGCGGAAATAGTGTGAGTTCTCCGGCACCGACTCCTCCGCCAGGCGCACCTCAAAGCACACTTTGCCCTCGCGCACTCCGAAATTGGCGCGAGCTCCGGACCAAATCAGCGAGTAAATCTCCGAGGAAAGAGGTTTAGCCGAGGCAAAAGTGGTCGGATCGATGCGTAAATGCAAGTCGGAATCCACTGGAATGGAAAAGCAAAGGAATTTTAGTTACATTGAACGATTTAATTTTAAAATCACCTCAACTTAAGCTTGTTTTGTTTTTTTTAAGGTATTTGAGCCAATCCGCAGCAAAAAATAGGATAATAAATACGATTTGATTTACAATTATTTGTTTTTAAAATAAATATGCACCAAATATCCTTTAAATTCCTCAGATTAAACATTGTAAAGGCCTATAAGAGGTCAGCTTAAGTTTTTTAAAACTACAATAAAAAGTAAATAAAAAATAAAGTTTCCAACTCACGCCAGCTTAGTCCCACTTTGTTCTCCTCGATGGTGGGCTCGTCCTCGGGAACTGTGCGCTCTTCGGCGGCTGCCTTCGAGTCCCGCTTGTCGCCCACGCTGCTGCGATGTTTGGGGGAGCGGGAGCCACTGCGCGAGCGGGAGCGCGAACGACTGTGCGAGCGCTTGCGGCGCTCCTGGGGCTGATCCTCTGACTTGGCAGCAGCCTCGGCATCTCCTTCGGCTTTCGGGGCGGCCGACTCCTCCTCGTCCACGTCCATTTTTTGGCTGTCACCATTCGACTGATGCTCAGCCACAGTTGATTCGGCTTCTTTATCCTCCTTCTCCTCGTTCGCTGGCGTCTGCTCCTTTTCCTGCTCTTCTGGGGCAGCGTCTTCCTCCATTGGTTCATCGACCACTTCGTCTTGTGGTGCTGCGGCGGGTGAGGTTTCCTTCTCGACTATCTCATCCTTGTCGCCCGCCTCTGACTTCTCGTCAGACTCGACGGCCTGTGCTTCCGGCTCCGGCTCCTCATTGGCCGCCTGGTCTGTGGATGTGTCCTCTGCCTCCGCCACTGGGTCAGCCTCCTCCGGCTCAGCTTCCTCGGGCTCACTGGGTTCGAGTCCCGGCTGGGGTTCCTGTTCGGGTTCAGGTTCGGGTTCTCGCTTCTCCTCCGGCTGCTCTTCCTCTTCCAGAGTATCGAGCACGGGTTCTGCGGCCACCGGAGCAGCTTGGACCGGCGATGGAGAGCGGGACATGGAGCGCGTGCGACGCTGACGACGGCTTGGTGTGACCGGCGCATTATCTGCGGGCGGGAAAATGAAATGTGATTACAATGCATTATATAAGGTAAACTTACAACTAAATTCACGCTGAGCCTCACACACACACACGCGCACATAATTCGGACGCGGCAAGCCATACACACAGACACAAACGGGCGCACAAATGACGCATACACACACAACCTCACCTCCGTCGCCGGCTCCTCCTTCCACATATGCCCTGAGGCGCTCCACGAGCACTGCCTTGACTCCCTTGGTGTCTAGACCACGCGACTGGAGCTCGTTTCGCAGGTCCACCACCTTCATCTTGTCCAGCTTCGCCACATCCATTTTTCCGCTTCAACTTTGGATTGGCGGCAGAAACACACGCTCACTCACACCAACGCACCGCTGAAAAGCTGGCGATGCGAAAAAAAAAGAATACGGGGAATTAAATGCCAAATCGCGCTCTCCGGCAAATGACACTCGCGCTGAAAATGTCACCAAAGTCAAGTCGCAATGTTTAATAGCACCGTGCGCGCACAATTTAACCACAATATTCGCATTCGTTGCGAATAAATAAATGGCCCGAAATCTTTTACACCGACGCGTTGAAGTGAAGTTGGCTGCGATTGTGAAAACGCAGGGCTGCTGCAGTGCTGCCGTTCGATACATGTGCTCACCCGGTTATCGATAGTAGTTTGCGTGACGTCAACGTCAGATGGCGCTGTTGTGCTGCCAGTGAGTGGACATATTCGGATAAATTTAAATGATGGGAAATTGTATGCCCGTATGAGAATAATGTAAGTAACAATAAAAAGATATTAAAGAGTATAAAATGTCGGGATTTTCAAATTACACTTACAAATATTTAATAACCCTAATCACAAAAACATGATGCATTTTAATGGTCTAGTGTTTGTTGGCCATTTGGCGAACATATTTACAACGACTCCGTGGCGCAACGGTAGCGCGTCCGACTCCAGATCGGAAGGTTGCGTGTTCAAATCACGTCGGGGTCAACAACTAGAATTAATTTTTTTTTTTCTAAATAAAAGTGTTTTTTTTTTGTTAATAAAAATAATTTAGCGAATAATTTGTTTAAGAGGAAATCTTTCCGGCTGGAACTTATATTTCACCCGGAACAATGTTGTCATAGCTTAAATATATGTTTTAATAAATAAGCCAGTACGAATTCGAGTCTTCAGGGTATTATAGTTTTAGTCAAATGTAAGAAGCAGTGAAGGATATATATATTCTTGATCAGAGTCAAGATGGACGAGTCGTCGGATTTTAAACTTTTGCAGTCATCATAAAATATGTCCACCTAGACAAATATTAAGAGCTGCGTGTATATTCTATACTTTTAGTAACAATTCAATAAAAATATTTATTATTTATTGCCCTAAACACTTTTAAGGTTTTCCTTGCCATTATAAACATTTTCAATATTGTCCAATACACTCCAACCCGTTTACCTGTTTTTCTTGAATCTATTAACATTTTCTATATTGTCAAGAGTTGAAATCGTAGTATAAAGGTCCCACTTAGCCCTGCGACTTTCGCCAACGACCATACCACGCTGAATACATCGGTTCTCGTCCGATCACCGAAATTAAGCAGCGTCGGGCGCGGTTAGTACTTAGATGGGGGACCGCTTGGGAACACCGCGTGTTGTTGGCCTCGTCAACAACTTTTTGCCGCTTTTTTTAATTTTTTTAACGCAATCTGAATAGCATTTTTCTTTTCGCAGCAAATTTAAAAAATCAAATAAAAACATAATCCAAATTCTTATCGATTATTTTAAAATTATTTCTTGTGCTGATTTATAAATTAAAACACTCCAAACCGTTTAAAAGTTTACCATACGAATATAAGAATTTCATATATTGTCCGAAGCTGATGTAAATATAATCTCTGGGCAGGAGTGGAATTCAGAGTATAAGGTCCCACTTAGCCCTGCCACTTTCGCCAACGACCATACCACGCTGAATACATCGGTTCTCGTCCGATCACCGAAATTAAGCAGCGTCGGGCGCGGTTAGTACTTAGATGGGGGACCGCTTGGGAACACCGCGTGTTGTTGGCCCCGTCAACACTTTTTTGTTGATTTTATATTTTTTTGAACGTAAAATAATGTTAGGCGGGTCCTAATTTAATAAAAACTACCAAGATTTTAAGCAAACCAACTTTTAATTATAGGTCCATAATAGTTTATTTGAAATATTAATGTTATTAATAATGTAAATTTCGTGGAAAAAATTCCCAATTTTTAAGTGGGCACCAGAAATTTTTATTAGAGCTTAGTCGATGGACTTCATCTTGCAGAGGTGGTTTACGGGTATCATCTTGACCTCGTCATTTATTTTGCAGACGAGTACGTCGCCCTCTTGCTTGGAAAGCACTCGGCCCACGGACTCGCGCTCCTCGCCGTAAATGACCTTGAATTCATCGCCACTGTTTGGTGGCACTGGCGCCAAGTGCTCGCTGACAATAGACACACTGCGATCCTCTTGTCGCAAGAATACGGAGCACACCCCGTTGGAAACGGTGCGGATGATGCCCGTTTGCCCAACGAGATCGGTGTCGTCGTGCGTATGAATCCGAACCTCAATGTCCGTGGTACACCAGTCGCCCATTGACGAATCCAGACTTGCCCCAGGTGTCTGGGGATTGTACGGGGATTGCGGTATGCCACCCGGAGTATTCGGTGAATAGGTCGACGGGGAAGGAGTGTTCATGTAGCCAACGGGATAGGGCGACGGAGCTGGACTGGGACTGGGATTGAAGGGGCTGTAGCTCCTGTCCGAGCCGTACAGAGTGCCAGGCGTTTGAGGGGCAAACTGGGAAGTCATCTGATAGCCAGGAGTACCTAGAAATGGGATTTTAGATTAACAAATGAAAAAAAGCAAATAAAGCAGATGCATTTACTTGGATTGTAGCCAGGGCTGGGGCTGGGCTCCTCCAGGGAATAATCGAAATCGTTGTTCCTTGCTGGCGTTGTGTTTGCGGTGGGATCCCAAGCTCCATGACGAGGCGTCATGCTGCCATCGTGCGACGGTGTCATTGTACCATAAGGCGTACGAGTATCCGTATCCCAGTTGGGCGTTTGGCTTCCCACCAACGGAGTTTTCGATCCGGCAGCGGTATAGCTGGGAGTCTGGGCTCCGTAGCCGGGCGTACGAGCTGGAGTGCGTCCATATGTGGAGACACTGCCCTCCTTTCCGGTAACTCCCACAATGGCAATATGATTCCGGTCCACCGAAATCGTCTGACATGAGGTGTGCAGTTCCACGCGAGCCGTGCTCTCAGTTGCGTCCTTGACAATGCCGACAGCTCCCTTGTAGGGTCCGCCACTAATCTTGATGGTTTTGCCCAGAATTTCACGATCGCGAGTCACACGGAATCCGCCTCGTCCACCGCGGGCTCCACCTCGAGCTCCACCGCGACCACCGGATGGATGCATGGGCGACTGAATGCGCGGCGACATGAAACCCAAGCCGCCAAGAGTGCCAGCATTATTAACGTTGGTCTTGCTGCCTCCGGCCAACTGCAAGTGCCGGGTCTTGCACACGAATATTCCACCGTTCTCCGTGTACATGCGGCAATGGAGAAAGGCCAGACTGCGGTACAAGTGCTTGATCTCGCCCGAACGACCCTGAAAAGAAGAGTTTCTTAATCAAATGATACCAGTTGCTGAATCTAAGTGAACTTACAGCATGGGGACCCTCCATCACCTTGACAATATCACGTCGACGGATCTGATTTTGATCGGCATCCAGGGCCACCGTATTGCGGTTCTCCCTTCGCTTGTGCAATGCAGTTGGTTTGCACTCAATGCACTTGCCATTCATGCCCAAAACATGGAAGTTTTCACGCTCCAATCGCACGATAACGCCCACATTCTGGGAACTGTAATAGAACCAGTCTTAGAAGAGTCTGACTCACAGGTAAATAAATAAATAAACCTACTCCAGTTGCACCAAATCTCCCCATTGGAATTGGCCGAGACAGTCGACACCTGTGGCCACATCCGAGCACAGTTGCAGGTCCCTGGGCAGCACCTCCAACTCGTGATTGGTCAGATCGGAGACGAGCACCACTCTGGAGGGCTCAACGCGAATGATGAGACCAGTTTCGCCTTCATAACGACCGGCCAGCACTCTGGCGTGATCTCCTGTCTTGAAGTACTTGCGCAGCTCACTGGCTTTGAAAATCAAAGGATCCTGCAGAAATCAAGTTATGAAATTTCTGGATCATTTTCGAATTTAGCAAGACAAACCTTAAGATCTTGATGTTTGGGCATGACTGTAATCATAGTGCCATCGATGGCCACAATTTTGGCTTGCAAGTTCTCCAAATCTCCCACGCAAACCTCAACATTGTCGCCCATTGAGAACGAGTGAGCCGAAGTGGGATCGTCCTTGACGGTGCCCATAATTTCCAAGTTGACCTCTGCATAAGTAAATATTCTGGTTAATATTTAATCAATGAGCTAATGATTTCTTTAACTTACCCTCCGGAGACTCTTCAAAGCGTTCTAGCTCGGCTAGAGTAGGCTTTACACCGTCTGACAGAATGGCCGACATGGTAAAGTTCTTGTAGAGGAATCCCTTCCGTGAATATCGGTTTCCCTCGAAGAGCAAGAAATCACCATCCGAGTGGACTTCGCCTCCAATGGCCCTAAAGAAAAACTCAGTTAGCTATGGTTCGAAATGGAAAGTTAGGAAATGGCTTACCTCACTGCCTCTGGATCGAAAGGTTTAGCTGCCGGGCGTCGTTTCTTCTTGCGCTTGCTATCGTCACTCTCCTAAAAGATTTTAGATGTTTAGCTTTCTCTCTTGATTTTTAGATATAACGGCTTACCGTTGCTGTTGTCCTTAGAGCTCCACGCATTCGTGTGTAGTCAATACGTGGCAGCAACTTTAGATGCACTTGGTTCTGGGCCAAATCCACATAATCCACCTGGGCAATGTCGTCTTTGTAGAGACCGCGCTTTAGGCGCACCCATTGCTTGACCTTGAGGCCAACTTGCTCCTTGACCACCTTCAGCACATCCGTCATCTCCTTGATGGGCACCATTTCTTGCTTCCATTTGCCCATCCGAAGATTGCCGACGTTGTCAATGCATGTTTTGACATGGGTCTGCTTGTAGGCCTCCAGATAAATGTATCCCTTGACGCCCTCCGGCGCAATAATCGATTTGATTTGCAGAGGATCATCGGTGTTTAAGTAGGTCAAGTACTTTCTCATCAGAAGAAGAGCTGTGGCCTTCTCCTCACCAATCCGGCACTTCACCATCCACAAATTGGGATCCCTGCGAAGGTGTGATATGAAAAGGTTGTTCGTGGGATGGAATGGATAAGGACTCACTTGATGCCTGGCAAAAGAGTTTGCTGGGTAATCTCGTCCGACATCTCCTCACCGCCATCACCAAAGTGCCGCTTGGCAATGGACTCGTCAGCGTATTTCTTTCGGAGGTACTCTTCGATCTCGTCCTCCTTTTGGGTGCTAAAAAATAAGAGGAAATAAATTAGACTTAATGCTGATATACCCTGTAGACTTTACTTACTCCCAGAGGTTGGTGCCTCGTCGTCGAATTTCAATGTCCCTGGCCGTGGGACCCAGTTCATCAATCTCGTTGCCCACAATGCCAATCTCATTGGCACCCTCCTCCCACTCGTCATCTTCATCGACCTTTAAGTTAAGATACAATATTATAGTTATTAAAGCAAAGGAGTAAGGTTAAGAACCCACCTCGTCGTCCACTTCGGCCTCGTCTATGATGAAGCCACCGAAGCGCTCCTTCTTCTTCTTCTTCCTTGGGTGATCGTCGTTCTCCTCCTCATCGTACTCCTCGGAATCAATGTCCTCGCCGGGGGGCTCCTCCTCCTCCTCGCCGGATTCATCGCTCTTGGGACGATTGTCGCGTCTCTGTGGCGACTCAGAGCCGGATCTCGAGTGTCCGGATTGGGAGCGGGATCGGGACCTCGAAACCGAACGAGATCCTCTCGAACCGGACCTAGATCGTGACCTTGACTTGGATCTTGGCGCTGCGTTGCGACTTGTTGGAAATGGATCCATCTTCGGATCCACTATCCGACATATTACTGACTTCCGAGTCCGACATTCTGGGGTAGTAGATCTGTAGAATATTTGGGATAAACTTAGTTACTTGATGAAGGCAACACATCCCAATCACAGTTACATATTTATATTGATTTTGCAATGGAGAGCTCTACGAATACCTGGTACTCAAAGTACTTCCCGAACGCAAATGCACGAAATCTGTAAACGTGTGCGATGCAACGCAGCAAAAAGGGGTTTAAATGCATGGTTTGCAAGCTTACAGAGTAGCTGTGGCTTATGCATTTGATGCTTGCAATGCAGTTCTAATAAATTCAATACGTACCTTTCTCCTTTTTCGCTATATTAAACTGTATTTTGGGCAGAAAATTTGGAAGAAAAAATTTTACTCTTTACCACGCCAGTGGTGGCAGACCAGTAACTACGCGCTTATCGATTGCTTTTCGATAGAAAATCGAACTAGTTCCGAAGGACTTCTGGTTCTTTAACAGCAAAATATTAAAAGTAAAAGACTTCTATTCTTCTAAATAAATAAAAAAATACATTAAAATATAATAAATACATTAAAAAAAATAATACATTAAAAAATTACTAAATTAAAGGATTAATATTCTTTTTTGGCCTAAAGTTACCCATCAATTGAAATAATATCGATATTCGATTTGTCGGCTTAAAAACATCGCTATATTTTGAAATATCATCGATATATCGTCATCTTCATATACTATCGACATCACTGGCTACTACCAAGAAATAAAGTAATCAAATCATATTGTTAAAAATAACCATTTGTGGCTGATTAAAGCCAGTCGGCAGGCTCAATTCGTTAGCTTGAATCGGCAGTGTGATGCTGAAGTGGAAACACCGCACGGTTTGCCCAGTAATTCATTTATTAACCACACCAACCCCTCACATCTGGCGCAGACTGTATGTATAAACAGATGCATATATGGGGATGTGCCTGTGTGTGCGTGCTACCACATACTGTATTTCCATAAACCGAGAGTTTGGCAATAACGAATATCTCGCTTTCCCGACCAGATTAAAGAATTCGGCTATATATGTAGGCCCGCCGATCGACGGCCCGTAACTTTGGCGTCGGAAGAGAGTGGGTGTGAGCGTGTGTGTTTCCCAGGGCAGTAAGGTGTGGTTCCACAAGACCAAACGAACGAAAGAAAAAAACAGAAAAAGCAAGGCGGTGGTGGGTTCACTTCCACCTGTGAAGATTCGCCGGAAGGATTTTGTGTCATGCAATCGATTTCCGTAACATATGCTTCTGGTATCTCAGGTTGAAGCCTCCATCCGGAATCGCCCACTGTGCGGTAACTGTGGACCATGAACACCGCGGGAGCCAGCAGTCAACCGCCGCCCACCAAAAATGAGTGTGAGTTTCGAGATTGGCCCTCCTCCGATTGGATATTGGATAACTAAGATAAACTCGATTTCTTTCTGCAGTATTCCCCGAGGAGTACCTCATCCACGTGCACATGCCGAACAAGAGCTTCAAGGCTGTTCGGTTCAACGTCAAGGAGACCGTTTTCCATGTGATCCGGCGCACCGTCGAGGATCTGGGCACGGATGGCCGGACGCCTAGTATCCAGCGCTATGCCTGCCGCATGCTGAACATGATCACCAAGGAGGTGATCTGGCTGGCCAGGAGCACCTCGATGCAGAAGGTGCTCACGCACATCCTGACGCCCGGCTGCTCGAATGTCGACTGCCCCGAATAACCAGGCGGAGTTGGACGAGGGCCTGCTAGAGCACGGACGAAGGATCACCGACAACAGGGTGTGGCGAGTGGAGCTGCGGGTGCGCTATGTGCCGAACAATATCCAGGAACTCTTCGACGAGGACAAGGCCACATGCTTCCACTACTTTAATCAGGTGGGTTTGCTGTCATAAAGTAATGGGTCATACCTTCTTTCGTTAGTCTTTGATTTTTTTTGGGAACTAATTATATTATTTATATTAATATAATAATTATTTATAATTATTTTAAGTTTTTTCTATTTTAATTAAAATACTTACTTTGTACAATTTTGATTTAACTTTTCACCAATTTTTTTAAAAAAATCTGTTTTAAGTTCCATTACAAAAATTATTTCCATTTTAAAGTACTATTATTTATTGGGAATAATCTTCGATTTTTTTTGGAAACCAATAAATATTTTATATTTTATCTTACTTAAAAAAATACTTAGTTGCGTATCTATTTGTAAGGAATTTCCCATTAAACTTTCCACTAAACCTTTAAATAACTTCGCTGATTTAAGTTTCATTACAAAAATGATGGCCATTTTAATGTACTACTAGTCTAAAATATATAATAAAAATACTTCGTTGATTATTGAACTGTTCACTAATCTTTTAACAAAATTTGCTGATTTAAGTTCCAATACAAAAATTATAACCATTTTAAAGTAATATTTTTAGTGGATTTTACTTTGAATATCGCGTTACAGGTGGTCTATATTATTTTAGTGCTATTTTACATAACAATTATTGATACTTTTTGTTTCCAGGTGAAGGAAGACTTTATCCAAGCCAATGTCACTTCCATCGACACTGAGGTGGCGGTGCAGCTGTGCTGTCTGGGCATTCGTCACTACTTCAAGAACATAACCGTGAAGGCCCCGGACAAGAAGCAGCACATTGACTACATTGAAAAGGAAATCGGATTCAAAAGTTTTCTTCCCCAATCTGTGATAGCCACATCAAAGCCAAAGAATCTTAAGAAAATGATCCAAGTCGGTTACAAAAAGGTGTACAATTACAACGACATTGAGTACTTGACGCGGTGAGCATTCCCAAAGTCTAAAGTCACATGTCCGGATTATATTTCGTTTCTTTTTACAGGTTCTTCGATCTTTTGAAAAATATTTATTTAACAAATTTTGAGCAGTTCTCGGTAACCTTGAGCTCGGCATGGAATATTTCTGGAATTCTACACGTCGGTCCTCACATTGGTAATTATTTTATTGCAATGCGAAATTACACCTTGCCCTGAACAATTATTTTTCCCAGGAATCTCTTATCAGACGCATCCGCAGGCCAGCTTAACGAACGTGGCTCAGTTCAAAGATGTCGTTTCTATTAAAACCTGCACTTTACCAAAGGAAAAGCTGTCCAAGTCTAGCGAAAGTACCACAGAATCAGAGCTACAAAACATCAATTGCAATTGCCAGAAGATTAAAACGCAGATTAAAATATCAGCGTCTAACAATGTTGAAGATTTGGTAATAACGTGCAATGGAATTAATGTGAGTATGCAATTTGTGATTACCATAATTATTTTTTATAATGCTTACTGTGATTTCTAGACTGCTGAGAGTATTGCGGACCTAATAGACGGCTACTGTCGGCTGTTATCAAAAGACCTAGAGTTCACGATTTGGCAGCGAGAGACAACAACCGCTTCAAGCGATGATAGCGCAAAAGCATTGCCCAATGATGCCACGCTGGAGTCCAATAAATCGACTTCGAGTCAGGGAAAGCCGATGTTGACGGATGATTACGCCGAGATTGGTTTATTGGAGGGCGAGGGCGATTACTCTACGCCAACCGTTCGGAACTATGAGTTGGACAGAGCCCACATCATCCCGAGTGCCAAGATCGGTGTGGGACAGTTCGGCGACGTTTATGTTGGCACATATACTCTGCCGAAATTGGGTAAGGCAAAGAACGCCCTGGGAAATGGCAAGGATAGCAATAGTGACCAAAGAAACGCCGATGCCAGGCCAGATGTCATTCAAGTGGCGATAAAGACATGTAAAGCTAATGATGATCCCGAAAAAACGGAAAACTTTCTTGCCGAAGCTTGTAAGTTTTACATTCTAAATTTTGTACACGTTTCCCATAATCAATTGTTATTTTCAGATATTATGCAGAAATTTGATCATCCGCATATTATTCGTCTGATTGGCATTTGCAGCGTAATGCCCATTTGGATAGTCATGGAATTGGCCAAGCTTGGTGAATTGCGGGCATATTTAAAGACAAACAGTGACAGGTGATGGTGAAGCTGAGTTACCTCATTGGTTATATATAACTTCATTAGTTTACCCCTTATTTAGGTTAAGTCATGGTACCCTACTAAAGTATTGCTACCAGTTGTCAACTGCTCTTAGCTATTTGGAATCTAAAAAGTTTGTACACCGAGATATAGCTGCTCGCAACGTTCTTGTCAGCTCCCCAACGTGTGTTAAGGTAATTTATAATATTATTTATATGATTTGGTTATAATAACTGGCCTCTAAACTTGCAGCTGGCTGATTTTGGACTATCACGCTGGGTTTCCGATCAGTCGTATTATCACTCTACACCCACAGGTAAGACATACTTTATCTTTTATTTTTTGATCCTTTAATAATGAGTAATTTTTGTAGTTGCCCTGCCCATTAAATGGATGTCCCCCGAGTCGATCAACTTTAGAAGATTTACCACAGCTAGTGATGTATGGATGTTCGGTAAGTAAATTATTTATTTTAAAATATTTCTTTGCTAATGGTTTTTCAATTTTAGGCGTCTGTATTTGGGAAATACTCATGCTTGGCGTAAAGCCGTTCCAAGGCGTAAAGAACAGCGATGTAATCTTAAAGTTGGAAAATGGGGAGCGCCTGCCGCTGCCACCAAACTGCCCGCCCCGACTTTATTCACTAATGTCGCAGTGCTGGGCATATGAGCCCCTAAAACGACCGAACTTCAAGCGGATCAAGGAAACTCTGCAGTGAGTTCACAACTAAAGTCAATTAATAACGGAATACATTTGTTTTATTTCACAGTGAAATTCTTATTGAAGACAGCATAAATTCATCGGAGACTCTAAAGCGGGAGCAACGAAAGGTGGCATCCATGTCATGGGTGGGCAGTGACGACATTGACATTCCACCATCGAAACCGTCGAGAACAATGCACGATCCTGGTACTTAACCGACTCAAAACTCCTTTTTCCAAATCCCTAATGTTGTACTTTTTTTTTAAGACATGACTGGCTTGATGCCTGAAACAACGGCGCTACCTCAGACTTATATTATTGCACAAAATCCCGCGGTGCT